CTCAGCCTTGACTTTGGGATACCAAAGCCATTGCTGTTGGAGTCAGAACTGCTCTGGATGACCAGACCTGAGAGGACCCAGTGAGCAGACTGGGGTGGTACTGGCAGGAATGGCACCCAGACAAGATGTTCTCTCAGGTGCAAACCAGCCCACCACAAATAGTTCACAAGCTTTCCAAAAGATGACATCTGAGCCTTTCCAGGCCCTACTGGGTCTGACAGTGTTTTGTCCTGTATCACACTGAAGCAGGTGTCTGCTGCAGCTGCTGCTTGTCAGCCTGTGGTGACCAGCATTCTCAATCCCCTTGGGCACCCCAGCTGCTTCAACCCTGCAGACCTCGATATCCAACTAAAGGGCCCGAGTGACGGGTGAGGTCCAGGTGAGGGAAGAACCACATTCACCTTGCTTGCTCAGAGCAGCCCTCAACCAAATCAAATAAATAGGAAATGACAATGGAAATACTAGGCTTAGGGTCCCCTCTCAAGGCTCTGGCAATGCTCCCTGCCAGCCAGATGGACCATTTCCTGGAAGAACAAGGTCAAGAAGTGGCTTAGCAATGGTCACCCCTTTATTTACAGCTCAGAGAATACATGCAATATGGCATCAATAAACCAAGGCATAGTACCCCTCCCTAGTCACTCCCACATGTCAAGGAGGAGCTACAACCCCCCCCCAAGGAATTTCCCGAGAGTACAGAAGTCCACTGATAGAGGCTCCAGGCCTAGGAGCTCTACCCGGTGTCTCCTAAGTAGAGCCAATGACAGTCCAGGAGGCAGCCCTTGGAATGTGGAGTTTGTCCTCCCTGGTAAGTTGCCAGGAAGCAGACCTCAGTGTCGCCAAGCCATAGTGAATGCAAGAGTGCTGAACTGTCCAAATGTCCCTCCGCCAGCATCAGCTTCCCGTCTGTGGCCCTCACACCCATCACAGCCATGAGTACCCTGAAGAATGAGTTAGAAGCCAGATGCCCGGGGGGGGGGGGGCACTTCTGTGACTACAGTTTAGTAGGTGTGGATTGGGGGCCCAAGGTTCTGCGCTTCTACCAGACTCCCAAGTGATGCTCGGCCTTCGCAACCAGGAGTGCTTTGACCATAGATCTGTCCCAGATCACCTGCTCCTCCTGAGAATTTGGAATCCCGCTCCCTGCAGCGTTCTGTATGCAGCCTGCTCCCCCTGACCACCCCTTTTCTGTGTGCACACAATCTACGGCCTGTAAGCACACACTCACTATGGTCTGTGAGCATGAAGTCTGCCATGGAGGGCCAGGATTCATGTAGTCCGGCCCCAGAACCTTCAAAGGAGCCTCAGCTGTTGGCCTCTCCAGACCCCACTTTCCCGGCACCCAGGGCTCCTGGTTCCTTTCTTTCCAGACATGCTCCTTGCAGGTTACATAGATGCTCATTGTCAGCAGCTGCAGAGGGAGTCTGGGGAGGGACTCTGCACCATCTCAGCAGGAAAAGGGGTGTGGCCTTGGAATCGGACCTCCTCAAAGGGCAGATGATGTCATTTTCCTTTGAAATAGCCCCCTCAGTCCCTCTCCACCCGGCCATGGAGACCACCCTTCATATTGCCAGACAAAGCCCAGGGAAAATGTCCCCGTCTGGGCACAGTGGGGATCTGTCAGAGCGTCCTTGAGGCAGTGACTAGCCCCTGCTCAGCTCCACACCGGGCTTTGCTTTTGCTCTCACAAACCTGTGGCTGTGCGGCCACGTGCTCCTCCAGCTCTGCCTCAGCCTGGGAATCCACATGCTTCTTCAGAGCCGGGACTTGGTCTTGTGAAGTGCACTTTGTTTTTGTTTGTTTATCTGTTTGAGGCAGGGTCTCTCTACATAGCCCTGGCAGTCCAGGAACTCTCTTTGTAGACCAGGCTGGCCTTGAACTCACAGAGATTCGCCTGCCTCTGCCTCCCAAACGCTGACATTAAAGGCATGCTCCACTATGCCTGTTGTGAAGTGCACTTTGGAGCAACCAAAGAAAGCATCCTGAACTGGGCATGGTGGTGCAAATCTTTAATCCCAGCACTTGGAAGGCAGAGGAGGTCCAGGCCAACGTGGTCTACATGGTGAGTTCCAGGCCAGCCAGAGCTGTGTAGTGAGACATCATTAAAAAAAAAAAAA